CACATGCACATATTTATATATACTGCATTACACACACACACACATCTGATGACTAACGAAGAAATAGAAAAAGTCAACAAATTGATAACCACTCAGTAAGTCATACAATGTTGAGTAATAAGCATATCAAAATGAGCAAGCTTCAATCTTGATAAAGGGGGAGAAATGCTAGAAATGAATAGACAAGTAACAATCACAACTGAGACATATGCTCCCAAAGTTATTTCTCAAATCAGCAACCAAGGGAGGCTTTTAAGTCAGAAGTCAGAACTTGGCAGTATCTGCCCAAATCCAGGTCAGGGTCATATAACATGTTGTTCATCTGACTTCTGCTTCCTATATGATTCCCTCTTCTCTTCTTCCTGTCTAGTCCCACTATAGAAGCTGACCTTCTCTAGTTCTCTATTCTTTCTCTTCCATGACACACTAATGTTTACATGGCCAGCATCCTGCCTCATTTCCCCCAAATATACACTTACTTCTTACTGTTTTTTTTTTTTTCAGACAGAGTCTTGCAACATAGGCCAGGCTGACATCAAACCTGTGATCCTCCTGCCTCTACTTCCCAGGTGGTGGCATTACTTGTGTAACCCAAGCACACCTGGCCTTCCTGATGCCTTTGAAATCTTTGGTTAAGTGTCATCTTCTGAAAGAAACCTTCTCTAACCCCTCTGCTTCATATTGTAGCCACTCCCCCTTGGCTTCCCATCCTATTTTTTCTGGCTTTACTCACCATCAAACATTTTAAATACCCTTCAAACATTTTTTTCCTGCTGGTACTTAGTTTGTTTTACCATCTAGAATGTATGTTCCATGAAGTATACTGGGAGTTTCACCATTGTCTTCATTTGTATGTGGCTTTGCCTATAAGAGAAACTGCCATATACAAATCCCCAGTAAATATACAGTGAGTGGATGGAAGACTAGTAGAAAGATGTGTTAGAATTCTAGAGAGGAACAGACCAATTATGTATGTGTTCTTATGTTCACACATATGTGTGGAGAAGGGGAAGAAAGATGGGGAAGGAAATAGAAAGCAAAAAGAGAAAAATTCATTAGAAGAACTGGCTTTCATGATTATTGTGGCTAGGTCACACTGTATGCCATCAGCACCCCTAGACCCACCAGAAAGTTGCAATTTTGTTCAGATCAAATGTGAAGATCTGAGAAGTAGAAGTACCCACATCTGAAGTCAGGAAAAGATGGATGTCCCAACTTAGAAAGTGAATCTTCCCTTCCACATTTGTATTTAAGTCTTTAGCAGATACCATCTTCCCATAGCCTATGTAATCAAATGCTAATTTCTTCTAGAAGCTTTGCAAGAATTCTGAGGAACAATGCTTTACCAACTGTTCTGACAATCCTTAACTTAGTCAAATTGAAACATAAATATTAGTCATCATAAAGTCAGAGAAAAATATGAGAGAATGAAAGTATCAATGATTCTTGCTCGTGGGATAGGTGTTGAGTTTTGTGAAAAAATGTTTTGCTGCAACTACTGTGGGTGATGAAACACGAACCACAAAACTCAATAAACTCACATGGAGTTTATTGGGAAAGGGAGGGGTAGGTGTTGACCAATCGGGAACAGAGATGGAAGGGGGAAGGGAAAAGAGGTAAGGAGACACAGAGACAGAGGACGGGAGAGAAGAGGGAGATAGGAAAAATCTGATCTGTGCTAGGGGAACAGCAGGAAAAGAAGAGAACAGGAAAGAGAGTGGAAAGACAGGAGCAGGAAAGAGAAGAGAGCAGAAAGAAAAGACCGTTAAAGTGGGCAGGGTCTTTCTCTTAAAGGGGTCCTTTGTACCTCCATGGAACCCTGGGCTGATAAGGGTACTGTCTAAGTGCATTCTGCCAGGTGACAGGGCAGGCCAGCATAATGCCTGAATCCTTATAACAGGGCAGGCTTAATGGAAGATATGATCATTTAGTTTGGCTTTGAATGAAGGATATTTTCCATTTCTATAAAGAAAAGAAGGGACTACCCCAATCATAGAGAATGGTGCATTGCAGTGCATAATAATGGAAGTGACTCAGTGTTTTAGCCTACAAGGGTGAGCATCGGCTCATGTCATGAGAAGTCTTGAAGTCAAACAGCCTTGAGGTTGACGTTATCCAATAGTTCTTGTGTTCTGCTCTGCCCTGCATCATCCCTAGAGTGGCTTTCTCTTTGGAGTAGTGTTGCTCACAGAAGCAAAAGAGTACCAATAATTCAAAGATTCAAAATCCAACAAAATGATAATGCAGAACGTGCCTTTTTTCACTGTTCCAGACCAGTAGTCTACATCAGACTTAGTAGACAACTTGTAGTCAGCCAGGTTTGTATGTGTTAGCTGCTAGGAACTGGAAATTTATTAGTATTAGTATGTTTTGAATAAAATAATAATCTAAAAATCTGTGAAAGGAAGGGTGCTTCTTGAGAGGAAGGATACAAACCTGAGAGGGATTATGAGGTCATTAGGGTCAAAGTCCATGACATCCAAGTGTGGAAATGCTATGATGAAATCTATCATCTTGGACATTTTCTTTTTGCTTTCCTCTAGTTCACTGAATGTCTTCAAACTCCCTACTTACCTGATCCCAGGCCCTTTAAAACCTTTCAGCTTTTCTTAAAAGTATTTGATCTTGTTCTTTGCTTTTCCTGAAATGTACTGCCCTAAATATCAGGAGATAAAGAAAATTCTTTTCAGTCTTGACACTCCTCAAGTGTCAAGTATCCTATAGTGGGGTATCCATAAAGCAGAATTCACCAATATAAAGAAGCATCTTCATCTTCTTACACTGCTAATGGTTTCCAGGCATTACAGGCATAATTATAGATAAGCTTTCTTTGTTATTGGTAGCCTCTTCATTGGAAGTCAAGCATCATGAGAGTAGAGTTTTTATCACAATGGCACACTCTAGCTGACACTGAGAAACATTACCAGGTAGTCACATTCAGCAATGTCCATGGTTAGAGCACATTGACAAAGATCTCCATCCCATTGTGTAGGGGTCCTCCACCAAATGGGAAAAGAAGACCATGTTCTGCACCAGTGACTGACCAATGTGCTTCAGAGGGTTGACAAATGAATCCATGTCACTGACCAGGTTTGGGAAGATTGAACTAGGCGTGGAGAAAACACCAACTGGCTGGACTTCCTTGTAGCCCATCAGGGGGCCACACATTAAGCCTCCTCAATATCTTAAGGAATTTGAGCATCACATCTCTCAGGGAACCTTGAAGTCTCTGTCTTTCATGACAGACAAACCTGTAATCTGCCACCAGGACCAAGCCCTAAAGCCTATAATTTGAAGGACCAATAGTCTTCTGGCATATTCTGCTTTCCTGTCATCATACTTGGCAGTCAGAGAGGGAGATGAGAGGAGAGAAATCTTGGTTTCCTATCCAAGTTAATAGGAAATAACAGCCAAATGTTATCCTCTGATTCTTCCATGCCCAGGATTTACTCAACCCAGTATCTTCTTGTGAATATCAAATGGAGGCAGCCATTCCCCAAGCACAGACATTCTTGGAATATGACTTCCCTTTCACATAATTGTAAAACTCTTGGCACACTGATGCTCCTTCGAGCGCTTTTGTGAACATGCAATTGGGCTTCTGCTGCAGTTTGGGAGTGATCTGAACCCTTCAGCAGGATGGATTTCATAGACTTTTCCCAAAGATGAGCTAATAAAAGACTATTATTACATGAAAGAAGTGCACTGTAGCACTTAGAACTAATATTCTTCAGCATTTATTTACTAATTATTATCTGCCAAACAGTATCCTGAATACAATGACGTTTTATTGAAATGTTCCTATGATTTATGATTTAGATGTTATTATTAGTCTCCATTTATATATGAGGCCCAAAGAAGTTAGCTTCTTGATTAAATTCATGTAACTGACAAGTGAATGTTTGAGGTTAACTGGAGCCTTCCATAGCTCACATCTACTTGGAACCTCAGTGCATGATGTCACTTGTGGATAGAGTCTGCAGATAGACGGGTATCTATGTGATATGTTAATGCCGAATTGATGGCTCTAAAATTCAATGACTAGAGTTGAAAGAAGTTGCAGGAAGATAAAGTCAGAGAGAAGAAGTATGTGTAGTGATAGAGGCAGAGAAGATCCTTAACATTGCAAGTTAAGGATCCGTACAACTACCAGAAGTCAAGTCAAAGTTATAGAACACATTGGCCTTCAGGGCTCCCAGAAGGGTCTGACCATGTAACTGACCATTTAACTGTATTACTCTCAGTGTGTCCTTTATACATATCTGTCACAATCATCCTTTATGGCAGTTACTTGAAATTAAGGATAGGAAATACATATTTTTTGTTTTTATGTGCATTGGTGTTTTGCCATAGGTGTCAGGCCCCTTGGAACTGGAGTTATAGAGAGTTGTGAGCTGCCATGTAGGTGCTGGGAATTGAACTTGGGTCCTCTGGAAGAGCAGTCTGTGCTCTTGACCACCACAGCCCAAAATGTGTATTTTTAAAATGTTTTTAATCGAGATGTAATTGGCAACAATTACATAGTCATTCCTTGGTGTCTACAGGGCATCAGGAACCATACAGATGAAAAAAGTTTCAGATGCTTAGGTTATTTAAACGAACTATATCTGCCTATACTCTGTCACATTTCTAAATTACCTTTATATCTAATGTGATTCAAATTCTTCATGAATGTTCTGTTTATAAAGGGGAGGAGACAAATCTGCAAGTGTTTAATACAGACATAACCATTATGGCCCTAATTACTTAGTATAGCAAATGCAAAAAACGAACATTTTTGTTGGAATCCAGACACAAAACTAATGACTAAGGAAGGCCCACTGTTTCTTATGCATGCAAATGTGTCTTACTCATCTTTTCATCCTCAGATTGTGAATAGTGCATGACTCAGTATACATGATTAGTCATAAATAATTATTCTTTTTTATTACTGGAAAACCCTTCCTTCTTATCTAGTTCTCTCACGCTTACATATTAAAATAAAGGGCAGATACCAACAATGAACACAGTATCAAGCATAATCTTTCTGTTAGATATGTTCCTATAGTTGATGAGTTTATTAACCAAACCCTCAGTGTTAAATTTCATGTTCTGTAAATTCAATGGCATATTAAAGAATATTAAGCAACCAGATCAAGACATTAAGGCTTGGAAGGATCCTGAGCATTAAAAGCTGCTGCTCCACAGGAGCTGGGGTAAGTCATGAAATGCTGGTGTCAGGGAATGCCAATGAGTCCTATTCTGCTTCTCAGAAGCCTCTGCAGTTCACGTATACAATGCTCTTTGAATCTTCTTTGGAGTTTCTAATGACAACATTATTGAACAGGCATCCTTGAAGCTTGTACAGTCCATGTGTAAATGTAATTGGACAAAAGGGTATGATTTAAGGGTACTAAACAGAAAACAGGGGACTATGTATGACCTGCCCTGATCCTTAGTGGCTTCTCTCAGCAGCAGGCCTTCTTCTCCCGTTGTGTAAGCAAAGCCTCTATTGACAGGAAGGTCTTTTGTCTACTATCAGGCAAAGTAGGTCAAATAACATCAGTGGTCAGCTCTAAGATAGAATTGCTGGGAAATGTGACCTGCTTTGGAGAGGGAGTTGTGAGGCAGGAGCTCTAGGTAAGACATGTATGTCTTTATGAATTGTAGGTCTCATTGTGACAGAGGAACAGACTGAAGAGTAAAAGGAAAATTAGTGAAAGTAAGAAAAAAAGCTTTAAGTAGATTTTTAATCTTAGAAGAGATTGGACAGAAAATTGATGCTAACCCTTGTAACAGTAGAGTAAGACTTGCTTAGTGTGTCTTTAAGTATAAATATACAATTACTCAGGATGCCTTTTGTCTTCACTGGAGATCAAGATAGAGTTGTCTCCCATGACTCCATATAAAGAAAGGAACTTCATACTTGGATCTTCACCTATGCTGTTCTGGGGACAGGGCTTTGTCCCTGAAGAGACACAGATTTTAAGTTCATACATAATTGTGTTCCAATTGTCTGTAAGGAGAAGCTTTTCTGATGAGGGTTGAGATATTCTCTGGTATGTGATTTTCATGATTTAAAAAAATGGAAAAAATAGTGCTATTCAAAGTGTGAGATTATTGTGCACTATTCTACTCAATGACCAGGGGCTGTAGGTTAAAAGGAAGATGGCAGATTGGATGCTATTTTTTAAACCTAAAAACCTACCATTTGTTCTAGTTTTCTCAATGGCAAAATTTCTTGTAAAACAAACATGATTCAAACAGATGAAAACAGACATGTGTAGGGAGACACCGTAACCATGCCTCCTAAGGGCTGGCTACAGGTGGGCCTGACCATGCCTGTCAGGGCATGGTCAAGGTGAGGTCAGGATGAGACGGATAGGTTCTTAAGGGACAGCAAAGCACATGGGAGCCCCTTCTCTCTGACCCTCCTGCCTTGCTGCTCCTGGCACGCGCTGGCTTGTGTTTGGCTGGTGTTTTTCTAATAAAGGGTATCTTTATCCCAAGCTCCTTTTATTTCTTAATATCTGGGACCCTGAAATCCACGACCCACTCGTGTTCCGTGCAAGCCCCATTCTGGGAGGGCCTCTGCTTGAGGAGCCGAAAGGCCAGGGAACACCTCTTTCAGACATGATTGGCAGTTTGACCCCTAAACAAAGGTCGATTTCTTCACTGTGTGTTATTCTGTGAAATCAGAAGTTCATTCGTTCTTTGGTGGAGAAGCCAGCTACATTGAACTCATCAGGGTAGAGCTCTTTCCTAGTGGACCGTAAGCCATAATTTTGATTGTGACCACATGTAAAATCCAGAAGCATATTTTTACATTTAGTTTACACCAAAGCCCAGCATTGGCTTTATTCTTTGTGTCAGTTAGAAAACAGAAGCTGAATAAATACACGTGAAAATAAAGAGAGGAAGAGGTAGAGGGGAAAAGTTTAACACAGACAGCCTTGCTGGTTGTATACAAACATGGTTTATCTTTCCATTTGTGCTATCAGGATCCTTCTGGCCTCCTCCTCCTAGCTGGGAGGTAAGACTCTCTAGGGAAATTCCTCCTCCTATCTGTTCTCCTCTTAAGGAACTAAGGCTACCCACCCCACATTCTTTTCCCAGATTGTTGGACAGCATCAGCCTGAGAGAGCGAGAGATAAAAGCACTCCAAGATAGGGTCAGGAGGTCTGAGAATGAATTCTACCTCCTCTAACAATTGCGCAACCTATGGCAACAAGCTTTCTTCTGGGCCTTAGAGCTCTCCTGTCGTCACTGAGTGCAGCATCCGATGACCATTATTCTATGATGCTGATGAGTGGGCTTTGGACTTTGATCCTAGTTTTTAAAGTGTTTTCCTAACCATGAAGAAGGAAGGAGTACTGCCTCTACTTAGGACCTCTGATTAAATTTCTTCCCATGAACAATAAAAACTTTTCTCTCTTTGCGAAGATAAGAGTTCATAATTTCATGGCAAACATGAGAGAATTTTGTTTCTTCTGGGGAAAAAAAAGAAAAAAGGATTCTATGTTTTATTGTTTTGTATATATGCCTAAAAATATATGAATATACAAAACAAACCTCTGAATATTTTTATAGTTACCTAAATAATAAACAAATTAGAAACATAGTTTACCAATATACCCTCAAGGTTGTTTTATTTGTTGTTGTTGTTTGTCTTTCAGAAGGTACAGCACTGAATGATATACTGCCTTTAGAAAGGACTGGATTTCACCCATGAAGATTGGCTGGTTTTATTCCATGGCTAAATCTGACAGAAGCCGTCATTGGCTACACTCTGGCATCCTCTCTTCTAAGTTAACACAAACCCTAATAGGTTTCGTTAACATGTTTAGGACAGGGCTCCTGGGAAATTTGGTTCCCAGCCCAATTCTGATCTAAATTACATAATGTAATGTCATTCCACCTTCATCACTCACTTCACGATGACTTATCTGATCTCTGGGGTCTTGTGTGACCCAGATCTGACCAATATAATAAAAAGACAGTGGAGAGACACAGCTCCTAAAAAATGTCCTCTTGATTAATATAACAGGCTCAGCTGGCTCTTCTGTCTGCTTCTGCTCCTCTCTCTCTGCCTAAAGAAGAGACACAAACCTTCAATGAACTATAGCTATCTTGTGATTACATAGCAATAAAGAGAAGGGAAAAGTCTCTACACAGGGAACTTGCCCTAACAGCCTTGGGTGTCTATTGCTGGACTTCTTTCCTTGTAAGATTTGTTTTAGTGCTCCAATTTTGTCTCTGCTTCTCTGTAGCTGAGAAGCCTCCTTTAAAGGATCCCCAACCAATGTTAGACAGAAATGCCTAATTAACCATGATTATAAGGCCAGGATGCTAAGAGTCTTCAACTACTTAAACCTCTGTTTTTTATTTGTTTGTTTTTGTATCTTTTTTGTTTTCTAGCTCTCATATTCTAGTTGAGCAGTTTGAGCTTCTAAACCCTGAATACACTTTATTAAAGTTATTTTTCTTCATCTCATCCTGATGACTTTCAAGATAAGGAATATTGCAAGGTGTGACAGACTGAGCTTTTGACAGCAATTTTTCAAGTTTTTAACCACTTCACTGAGACGCACTTAATGTAACTAAGGTCCTATCAGAATGCAACTGTTTCTCATCCTCTCCCATGAAACTCTTTCCTTTCGTTCATCTCCCTCACTACTGGGAAGACCTGGAAAAAGCTACCGTCACTTTTAGTTTTCAGATTTTTCTTCTAGACAGGGTCTCCTACACAGGTGAAGCCATAATTTCATATCCTGTTATCTTTCTCCCAAATGATAGTGTCTGGTATAGTAAACATGAAGTCCCCATATACTCAGTGCCTCAGCTGGTTCCTAAGACACATACATTAGAGAGAGTGTTTGTCTAGCTACTGATCTTGCAGTGTCTCTAAAGAAAAGACCACCGAAGACTATTTCCTGAGCAAGACTTTTAGAGAAGTTCCACTGCCTCAGGCTAACTAAGCAAATCCGTGCATGACTATGAATTGCTTTAAAACCCAACATAATAGGCAAATGCCTGATCAAACATGGAATTTGCTACTATTCACTTAGTAATTTTCCACTTACAGTGTATAAGTCATACAGATAAAAAGGCTTATATTTTAGTCATTCTTTACGCAGAGGCATGATTTAAAGACTCATTGAGCTGCTAGCAGTAACAGATAATTCATGTCTAATACTCATGCAGAACCTCACTCAGTGAGAGAACAGAATTCATTAAAAGGTTTATAGGATCAGATCTGATTATATACAATGCTGTATGGCTTTGCAAAACATGCAATATGAAGTTTATACACAAAGGATTACTAAAATATTCAGCTGTTTTTTTCTTTATCAGAAGCTTAAAATGCACCGTGTTGGCAGGCACTAGATAAGAATTTGAGGTTGGCTGTAATTCTGACTGTGATGCTACAAGGCTGTAGATCTTGAAAACAAAATTTGTTGCTAATAAAAATGATTGCTGAAACAAGATCAATGTATGGGATACTGCTTTTCCTAATGAAATCAGACTGTAGGATCAGAGATTATTTCTTCAGGTGAGAGAAAGATGTCTACACGTTCATATCACTTATAAAAATATGCAACTGGAGCTAGAGAAAAAAAATGGCACAAGGGACAGGGGACACATTTGCTGCTTGAGCATGGGCGGCTAGCTGAATTTGGACCCCCCAGCTGGTAAATGCCTACTTGTTCTTGGAAGCCCACCTGAAATCCTGTGCTCACACTGCAGGGATTCTAGGAGGGAATCTAAGAATCTAATCTCCAAAGGCAAACCGGTAGCTAGATTAGCCAAATCCAAGGTTCAAGAGAGCCTCTGCCATAATATATAAGGCGGAGAGCAACCAAGGAAGATATTTAACGTCAACCACTGGGTTCTGCATGTACAGGTACAAGTGCATGTGCACTCCCAGAAGCGTGTGCTCTCATATATAGGGGAACACACATATGCTAACACATGCACACCATACACTAATGCATGCTACTCAAACAAGCATGTGGTCCCACATACATGGGGAACACACGTACACTATCACATACACACCATATACTAACACATGCACACCACCCACACATATGCCCCCTCCAAGTAAAAAATAAATTGTCACAATGATCTCACTCCATGTGACATTAAATAATCTTAAATAAAATGAATATAATCAAACTAAGTTGGTACTGATTGAGAGGGAGGTAGCCAGGTA